CTAGTTTATTGCCTTCATTTTTGTATCTACTTGTGGATGTAATAGTACCTGTAGCATGATACTGTGAAAGGATTAATTATTCACTGGGTTTTAATTTTGCTTATTTCGCTGACTGGAAATGCGCTAAATTAAAACCCAGTGAATATGTAAAATTTAGCATAGAACACATTATCTAAATGATAAAACCATGAATTTAAAACACACTGAATATGCCTGAAATGCTAAATCAGTACAATTTAAACCCAGTGAAAATTAGTCATTTTACAGAAACAACCAAAATGTTTACATATTGTACCTTGTAGGATTTATGTCTTAAATCCCATAATCCTTTAAATTCGGGTTGAGCTAATACTTCATCTTTTTCTTCACTATCACTTTCTCCTTTCTCGTCACGACTTGTTACGCCATATGGACTGAAGTCATCATCATCTGATGACACAGGCATCAATCTTGTGCTTAGCTTCTGCAAAGGCAATTTAGGAAATTCAAAGTGTTAATGCTGAATAATTTGACAGTGTGATAAACCACGGGCTGAGAAAGACACTTACAGGAGGAGCGGCTTCTTCTACATCTGCACTGTACTCCATAGATGAGGATCCACTCGTCTCATGAATAATACCAATTCTAGCTTTACGTTTAGGTCTGCCAACTCTCTTGGCTCTCTCTCTATCTCTCTTAGACTCTGGCCATAACTGAGGATACTGCTGCATACGTTTCTTCATCTGTTTTTCTTCCTTTAAAATGCGAGATGCAATCTCAACTCTGTTTTCTCTTTGAGACTCTTCAAACTCACTGTGGAAGAATGAATAATGTTTGTTTCAGGTATGCAACCAGGCTGTGGTCATGAATCCTTTTATTTATTAAACTAAAACTAATCAAAGATACAATTTATTATAACTGTGCCCTTGTGGGTATGTGGTTGGTCTGCCCAATAAAAAAAGACTAAATGTGGATATACCAACCAGTGTTCTTATTAGAAATTTAGGTAGTTCGAAATGTGCACCACAGAACATGTGATTGCACATATATGCAGTGCATTATGGGAGATCACTTTGGAAACTCACCAAGTTATGTTGATTTTTTTTCACAATAACCACGTTTATTTTTTCACAATATTTTCACAATTCAAATTGATAAAATACATCTGACTTTGTCATCCCAAGTCACAAAGCAAAATTTAGAGTTATAAAAAAATAAAATATAAAACCACTGTAAACATTTTGGCAAGTTTGACAATTTCATATGACTTTGGGGATTTTATATCTCGCCACACTGCTTTTTATTGGTTGTTTATGTTGGTATGAATAAAACTCCTATATGCATACACAGTTAGTGTAATAGCCTTCAATTATTCTGTACTGTAAAATCAGTATTAGAAGCTGCAGCTTTTATTAAAATGGTACAATGCAACTACATATATGAGAAATGATGAATTTTTGATTCTCAATTGTTCAAAAAGATTGGGTGTGGCCTTTTATTTATCGATGAATGTAAACATGATAAGTACTTTTCAAGAAAAGATTTATGGCGTACAATTTCTATTTGGGTCATCATATTAACTACATACCAGATGTAGCTCAGTGTTTATCTGTCCCAATTTTATTTTGAATTCAATTTATTATATTTTTCTTTTGGCTCAACAACATACAAGCAGAGCCAGTCATTTTTTCAACTTGCAGGCCCTAAAGGCAAACAACTCTGACACTCAACACTGGGAAGGATGCAAAACTATGGGGTGCAAGGAACATGGCAAAAAAAACAAAAACATGACACATATTATATACATGGACTTACTCCAGATCACTCTCAAACTGTCTGATTCTTTTCATCCTCAGTAGAACCTCATCAGGATTTCCCCCTGCATCCAACACATCCTGTCTCTCCATATCTTCAGCTTCAGCAGCTTGTCTAGCTAAGTATCTATCCCGTGCTTGTATAGCTCGTAAATTTTCCTAAAATTAGAAATAATACCATTACGTGTAAGCAGGCAAGAATAGCCATTTAGAAAAAAACTATGACCGAATCAGTTTAGAAAGACCTTATATCAAATGGATTACAATGACAATTTATTAGACAAATTTATGATGTATGTGTGAAGTTTGAATGTAATTGGTCCAGGCATTTCTACGATATAGGGTCTGACACACGCATGGACGCACAGATAGATGCACAGAACTCAATCCATAAGTCCCTGTTTTCGAAGTGCGTCCAAACGGGGACTAATAATCTAGCATATGTTCAATGCTAAGTGAGAACATTTTTAATATTGTGCAAACAAATGCAAATCAAGTGAATGTTATTATTTTGGTTATAGCTGTATAATCAAAAACTGGTGGGATGACACATGTATAGTCCTTACCCGATTGGATCCAATATTTTCTTTCAATGATATAATAGCTTCCATTCGTTGTTCCATCTCAGCTTTGCTTCGCTCTTCTTCCTCCAATTCCTGCTGTCTAACTCTGTATAAAGAAGACGTAACCGTGAAATTACTGGTAATGTATTACACTGAAAACCACTCAAATTCAACTCTATATACCTTAGTACAGTACATTGCTATAGTTGTCAAATAACCTACATGTAATGAATGCATATTAAGTAAAGGTGTAACTGAAGAAGCCAAGTTACCTTGCTAGTGTCTCTTTCAGGTATTTATTGGCAGCCTCTCTGCTTCGTCTTGCAGCGACAATGGCTTGTCTATGTTTTCTGTCCCTCTCACGCAGAGCTGCAATGTGGTCTCTGTCAAAACATAAAATGAGACAATAGACAATATACAACAGTTTCTGATCTTATTCAGTGATTGGTGGTTTTACTTGTAACTGGAAAAGTAGAAAAATCGAAGGATGAATTTGAAGACATGGGATAGCAAAGCATTTATTTGACATGCTTTCCCAAGCTGGGACTTTTTCACTGAATATGAATGCTTGTCCCACATGTCAGAGATACCCAAGTGTTAACAATTCTAGGGATTGCATTATTCGGTGTACTATCCCCGCAAAACTGCCAGCTTCTGTGATACAAATGTCTGCTGCTTAATTCTGGAGTGTCTCAAATATTGTATGTATTGAAAACCTTATATACCTTTCTCTGTTCTTTTTCCTTCTTTCGGCTTGGAGTGCTTTCAGCGTCTCTTTCCTGGCTCGTTGAGATGCTACCTCTGTTCTTTCTCTCTGCCACATTTCTTCATCTTTCTGCAAGTCCTCCTCAACGAGTATGAATTTTCCTTGTTCAACTTGTACCTGTGCCAACTCAAATCTGGAACATAAAAGCAAACACATGTTTTCATCAAATGAATATAAGTAATAATTCCCCCAAATCACAAGATTGTCATAAATACCAACACTATAAGTCACGTGGTTTCAGAGATACAGTCACTGTGGTGCTTGACAGACATATTACTGTAACAAATCGTTCATTTGAATATGTAGTCATAAACACATTCAGTATTTCTAATCCAATATTCCCCAAATTTCAAACAACTTATTTTTTTTTAAATAACACTACGAATACATACTGAGTTTGTTCCAGTCTCTGACTGATGTCTTTTTCCAGTATCTCCTCGGCTTCCAGTTCTTGACACAGTGTTTCGTGTTTTGCTCGAAGTCGGTACACAGCGGCCATGTTGTTGGCTTCTTCTTCATCCTGAATGGATGAGTATACCTCATCTCTTTCTTTTTCTAAGCTTTCAACTTTATCTCGACATGCTTTTAGCTCCTCTCTGTAAACAAATAATAATTACTTTTTAGTTCGATTTGACGTTTTCATATGCCATACATTTGTTCAGTGTTGTTTGAGGATATTGTAGCAAATTTCATTGAAATCTGAAAAGTTTTTTCTTGGATACTGTTCATTTTCAGAAAAATAGTATATACTCTAGGTACGAATTTTGATCATAAACAAAATACAGTAAGATGAAATAAACTACATGCCACAGAATACATCCTATTTCAGTCACACAGCAACAACTTTATTTTACATTCGCAACACCTTTTGAGAGTAAAAGAGAATCCCTGTTGTAGATATAAAATGACTACTGCCTGCAATTGTTGTGCAAAAGCTGGTGTGAAGTAATTGAAGAAAATATATTTACAAGTTACCAGCCTCTTATAGCTTTGAGCACTATGACACAAGAGGTGGAATCATGTCACAAATTTACTGGTTTTACTGGTCAATGTTAGTACACATTTAAAATATTGTAAATTTTAACCATTAATACATACCTTGTCTTTGTTACCAAATATTCCTTATCAAGTACTTTTTCACTCAGCTGGTCTAAGTGTCTCCTCAACGCCATGATTCTTAGTTTTTCTTGTTGAGTTATCTTCTGGTGGGTGGTTAGTGGATAGTCATTCTCATCTGGTCTGAGAATGAAAAAGACAAAACGAAACTAAACAAGCACTGCATGGCACAGTCCCCGTTAGTTATCAAATTTAAGATATATAGTTTTGTTTATAGTACCGGTAATATAGCTGGAATATAACCATGTCAGGAATATGATTTTTTAACATTAAAATGATTGACATTTGTATCTGATCGTCAAAAAAGTACTTGTCCATATTGAGAGATATTGCTTTGGAACAGCATTCAGAATCAGCCATTTTGAATACATGTATATATATAACATGATGTATAACGAATATATAAAATCTGAATATAATCAGTGAAAGCATTTAAGAGATATGGCTCTAGAAGCCCAATCATTAAAACAAAATGGCCACCAGACAGCCATTTTGAATCCGATCTGAAAAATAAATGATGTGCATCAGGAACATGTAATGTCTAACATATGTACCAAGTTTGAACGAAATCCATCCATAAATGCTTGATATTTGATGATTTTTTAAGCACAAAAATGGC